GGGATTCGAACCCAACACCTTAGGTGTATGTGGCTGGTGCCTTAGCCGCTTGAGCCACAGGCGCCGAGCCACAATGTTCATTTTTAATGAAGGAGTTATATGATTAAATAAGGGCTTTTAGAATATCCTGTTACTTGCTGTGTGAAGCTAAGGGCAAAAGCAAATGTAGGAAAGATTGGAGGTTATTGTCAAGGAAGAGACGATGATGGCTTGGCTCAAGGTAGGAATATAGATAAGTGAATGATTTTAAAGCGATATTCAAGACATAGAATCAGAACTCTGATAGATTATATTAGGGATGGAGGCACTAATTAAAAAACAGATTGAAATTTTCCAAAAATTTGGTCATGAAAAGTAGTAGTAGGAAAAGGGGGGTAGCTGGGAGATGATGTGGTTTCTACAGAAGGCTTTTATTTTTTCAATTATTTCTTACATGAGACCTTTTGTTTTTTGAGACAAGAGTCTCAGTCACCCTTGGTAGAGTGCCTTGGCGTCATAGCTCACAATAACCTTAAATTCTTGGGCTCAAGTGATTCTCCTGCCTCAGCCTCCCAAGTGGCTGGAACTACAGATGCCCACCACAACACCCGGCTATTTTTAAAGACGGGGTTTCACTCTTGCTCAGTCTAATCTCAAATTCCTGGCCTGGAGCAATCCACCCCTTAGCCTCCCAGAGTGTTTAGGATTACAGGCGCGAAATCCACTTTTATTTTAATCTTGATAAAGTTATCCATAATCCAATGTCTGCATGTTAACTAAAAGAGGCTTGTACACACGTGGCTCTAGATTCAATCTAGGTAAGGCCTCGGGGAAAGAGCTAATAGGCACACGTGAGAAAGTCAAAAGAGATTAGGGAACTTGGGGTCAGAAACCTATACCTTCAAATTTGTTAATCTATAAGAAAAGATTTTAAGATAACAGACCCTAGAAACTAATGAACTAGTATTATGCACCTCTCCGCGCAAGAATGTCACCAACCGGAATATTTTTTGCATTTTTCGGGAGCCACAAGGCCCAAAATCTCGCTGGAATCGTCGGTCGCACAGTTCAGTCCTCACCTTCTGCTCAGCACTAAAGGCGCAGGTCGCGGCCCGCGGTGGGCGGGGGAAGGGGCGGGG